TTTTTTTAACAACACTGTCAATGGAAAGAGCAACGAAAAATCGACAAACTTAAGAGTAGCTAGAGCAGATGTATAAAAATTTTAAAGATAGACGACGAGCAGTGAAGGGCTGCTGCTGATCAGTTGCCGTAGCAATCTGTAGGGCTCAATCGTATTCTCGCGACAATGGTTTTGTGAATAGCATCAAAAGCTGAATGAAAAAATAGAAGAATCAAAGTGCACTGGTAAAGTAAACGAACATTGAGATGTGAGTCAAGTGTCAGTGCCACCGATCGAATGGCTCAATCGGACATGAGATAAGTCGCAAAAAGAAAACTCGGAAAGAGTAGGCCAAAAGTAGTGAAAGGAACGAGAAAAATACTTTAAAAAGAGATGCAGATGCTTGGCGCAATGTGTTTGTGCGTGTGCGTGCCTGTGTGCTTGTCTGTTTGGCGGTGCTAACAAAAAGAATTTAAAGTAAAAGAAAGAAAAAAGTTTCCATTGTGTCAGAAGTAATGCATTGACTTACTGATAGAAAATATATCGGGAATATCAGCGACGGCAGTGGCAGAGAAGAATAGATCGAAACTTTTCAAATATTTAGCCCAGAAGCAAATTCAGCTTTAGACTTTCCATAAATCAACTGTTTGGCATTCAATTAGGACATGACTCGTGAGAATTAATTTGACATTTGAATGGCTGCTGCCTCCTGGTTCGGACTGCCACTGCTGCTGGCAGCAAGATTGGCAAAAAGAGGAGAGAGGAAGTAAAGTTGCGAAATGCCAAACGGCAAGTGTCACAGTTTGCGGTGACAGTAATCGAATTAGGAAAATGGTCAAACTGACGTAATTAGGTGAGGGGGTGAGAGGGAGGTTTGGATAGTGTAGTGCAAAGGTGAGAAAAATTGGCGCCATTGTGTTTGGTTGCGATTAGTTGATTGGCACTAGCTTGCTTTGCACTTTCTATTTTTTATTACTCTGCACTATAGTTTGACACAAAAACTGACTACCAAACGGTGTCAAATGACGGTGGTTAATTGTCGTACAAAAAAAGTCGGAGTTTCACTTACAATTCATATCGAGTATGACCGTAGAGCTGATCGGCTCGGTCACGTTGTTGTTCCAGGCACGACACGTCAGAATGGACATAAAGTCCGAACGGTTGAGGGCGCGAATGTTGAGCTCGTTGCGCACCAGACCGTGCGGACCGACGGTGTAGCTGGAGTCGAGCAGACGAGAGCCGCTGTACCAGTTCACTTCAGGAGACGGCTTGCCTGCAACATAACATGGCCAAAAGTGTCAATTAAAAAGCTCTTTTAGAAGTGAGAAAAACAGAAGTGGCTTTTACCTCCTTCCGCTTCGCAGATCAGCAGCACGTTGGAGTTCTCATCGTAGGGGCCAATGACGCCCTCCAGCTTCTGCCCCTCGACGTCCATGATGAGCAGCTCCTTGGGAGGCACGGTGACGTTCAACGCCACGAGGACGTTCTGCGTTCGTGACTGGCGAAAGTCCACCCGACAGCGGTACTCCGCCGCGTCAGATGGCAGCACCGGACTGATGCGCAGCACGGGCAGCTTCAGGGAGATGTCAAAGTGGAAGCGCTTTCGAAGTTCATCGGCGGAGGTGTGCTTCGCCTTGCTCAGCGTGTCGCTGCGTGCGTCCACCCGGTAGATGGGCACGCCGGTGTCGCCTCTGAACCAGAGCACCAGTGAGACCTCGTTCTCCTCCCAGATGGACGTGTTGCAGGGAATCTCAACGCTGGTGCCCGCTACGGCGGTTATTTCGGTGATGCCTGTAGGAGGGAGAAGAAGAAGAAGAAGAAGAAGAAGAAGAAGAAGATTCGATCATTAGCGGTGACCATCTACTGGGAAGGCAGTCAATCAGGCAGGCAGGCAGCTCTATCCACCAGCTCACACTCAGTTGTACACTCTATCGACAATTTATCATTTGTGCGCTATCCTCGATTTTGATATATTGCCTAAAATCCTATCCTCTCCACTCTTAATGGCAGAGGAGGAGGAAGAAAAAGAGTGAGAGCAAATAGAGCCCAATTTATTATTGGCCGCGATTGAAACGAGCGAACGCATCAGCGGGTGAAAATCAAAAACACAAAATTTAAAATGGCAAACTTAGATTGGCCTAAGTGGCTTCAACGAGTCTCGTTGTCTCATTATCATTAAAAGTCAATCAATCAAAGTCACACAAAATGCTGGACGACGCATGTCTTCTCAGGCCTCAAGGCTAGGGTAATTAGGTAGACAGTCGGAGTGAAAAAACGCAAGCTCATCGGCAGAGCAACACGACCGACTAATGGCGGCAAAGTTGGCCATCTTTACATGCTTTAAACACCAAATTACCATTAAGCAGTCTGCAAATAAAAAAAAGTCAGACAATCATAAAACATTAAAGATCTGCTACTGTACGGTGCAGTGTTGTACAAACGCACATTTTTCTGTTTCACTTGAATCCGTTCAAAAATCAAAGTTAATTTTTTGCACAGTTAAAATAGTTTAAAAGAGCTTACTACCAATTGGGAAAAAAGTAGCTGCAACTTGATCGATGAAAATCGAGTGCATGTCTAAGGGCAAGTAATCAAGTGCTGCTGCAGCTGTTTCTCCCCATTTCCCTTTCTCTCTTTTACTGAATGTCGCGGTCAACTGAATGGAAAGACTTCTTTTACACTTAAGCAAAAGCATTGAATTAATTAATTAATCTCAGTCAATCGTTGTTCTAATTCCCAGTGCACACCACTGTTGTCTGGCGTCCAGAGACAAACATTATCTACAGGAAGGCGCAAAATGCTTTTCCGTGTGACTTTTGAAAGTAAAATTTACACTTCAAGTTGCAATTTTAAGCAAAAATTTACATGTAATTCAATCAACGCTTTTACACAAAATCATTTTTTAACTTTTTTTGTTTAAATTATGAAAAAACTGTGAAAAAACTTTTTTAGAAAAAACACAATGAAAACTTGTGTTTCACAGTGTAGTCGCCCAGACAGAAAGAAAACCTCTAGAATTGGTTAGTCTCGTGCAAATCGATGTATTAACCCGAGCATAAGAACTGACTTGATAATGCAACAGTAGTGGTGATTAATTGTAGTAATTGTAGTGAGCGGACAAAGAAGCCCATGCAATCGAATTGAATTGATGTGCCTGGGACTCGAAGAGGGAATACGCAGTGGATGACGCCCACTGAATCAGTAAGTGAATTATGTGAAAGCCAAAGTTTTAGCCTTTTTGCTTTGCCATGAAAATATTTCCAATTGGAATTAGAAATCACAATTCAAGGCGAACTCTCCTACACACACAACGCCGCTCAGCGTGACATCACTTTTTTGCAGACTCTCAATGCCCTCTTTCGCTCTCCCTTTAGCCTCAATCGACATCTCAAGTAAAATGCCAATGAGAACATTTCTATTGCTAAAAAATTCTACGTTTATTGTGGCAGCTTTGTCCGTTCTTTATATTCACTTAGTCCTTCTGTTTGCGGATTCAATTCAAATGGCCAAGAGAGTGAGAGAAAGACAAAATAAAGAGAATAACAGTAGTAGCATTTAGTGGGCCATCTCTGGCCTAGATCTAAAAGCCCAAGTTTCATTAGCGTGCGACTTGAGATATCAGTGGCAGAGGGGACAGAGAGGAAGAAGAGGAACCTAAAGAGCAGCAGCGACCATTATTTCACACAAGGCAAAGTCTTAGCAAGGCTCATTACCAGACTGCCTGTCTTTGGCTGCTGCTACTCTTCTTCTTCTGGGCGCTCCCTCCTTCAAAGATGCTGCTTTTCTTGTTGCTGTGCGCGCTCGATTGGATGGGCAAATCGTTTTGTTGGTCACTTTCTCTTTCTTTTTCTCTATCTTTGCCTCTCTCACCCTTGCAATGGGCTAATTTAGACTTCAGTTGTTGGTGGTCATTGCGGGCTGTGCCGACAAAACGGTTAACGGCAGTTAATTGTGGGGATTCTCTTGCTCTGTGTGCTCTGCTCCACCGTAATGACACGGTCGAAACGAGTGAAACAGAGAATGGCAAAAGTACTATGTGCGCATTACACCAGTGTCCAGGGCTGTATTCATTCAGTGCTGCTCCCAGACAAAGTGCGCACTCAACTGGCCACTTTCTGGTGCCATCACCAGCAGACACACAGACTGACAAACAAACCGACAGACAGACAGACATACAGACCTGCGATTTGCCTCTTTTTCTAGCTTCTACGTCCTGTGGTGACTTTTCTCTCTGCCAAGTGGACGCATCAATGCCACTTTTTGCGTGAAAATCCTTTGCACTCCATTTGACTGTAGCACTAAGAAAAGAAGCAAAAGGGGGCACAGCTATCAACTCTCTCACACACACCGAATCCGATCACAATTACGTAACGGAATAAACGAAAAAGCAAACTGTACTCAGAGAAAAGAGATTGCACAAAGGGCAAAGTAAAGAAATTAATTCATTCGAATATGTTTCTCAAGGAACAGCCAAAAAAATATGAAATAATATTAACAGTGGTATATTGCCTCAAAAAAGAAAGGGTTTGCTTTAAGATGAAGGAAAAGTGAATGACGTTAAAGCTAAATTTCAATTACCACAAAATGTATCACTGATTAAAATTTTTTTGCAAAATGTAAAAATAAAGTTGTTTAATTAAAATGTATTTTAGTACATTTGATAAAAAGTATTTTTCAAGTTATTTTGTTTTTGACACAAAAGCTAAGTTATCATGA